TTATAGATGCAATCGTGTCCTAAAAATTATGTGTTGTAAATTCTAACCTTTATGCCTGTGGTCATGATTCTGTTTGGGAATGGGTGGTCTCTGTTAGGTTAAAGAGATAGGATTAGTGAAGGGTGTGTCTTGAATCTATCTCTTTTGAGATATAAAAGAGACTAAACAAGCAAGCGAAACTAAGAAGACTGAATGGGAGAAAATATTTGCAAATCATATACCTGATAAGGGACTTGTATTTAGAATAAATTATTACAAATTCAGAAATAAAACGACAAATAATCCAATGAAAAACAGGCAAAGGATCTGACTAGATATTTCTCCAATGAAGATACACAAGTGACCAACACACAGGAAAAGATGCTTAACCGTCATTAGCCACTGTTGTTATTGTCATTAGCCACTAGGGAAATGCACATCAAAACAAGAAGATACCACCACACAAACACTAAAAATACACAACTACAGGGATACATGGAAGGAAACTTTCTTTGCTGGTTATCAGGGATGGGAGGGGAGGGGATGAACACTGCAAAAAAAAAAAAAAAAAAAAAAGCACTGACTCATGTCACTTTAGTTTTGTGTATTTAATGGTACATAAATTGTATTTCATAAAATGTATTAAAAAAAAAACCTAAACCAACTGGTTGCTGTGGAGTTGCTGTTGATTCACAGCAATCCTATAGGACAGAGCAGAACTGCCGGGACTGGTTTCCAAGGCTATCATCTCTATGGAAGCAGAACGTCACATCTTTCTCCTGCAGAGCAGCTGGTGGGTTCAAACCACCAACCTTCTGGTTAGTGGCTAAGTGCCTAACCACTGCACCACCAGGGCTCCTTCTCACAACCACTAAGGCTATGATCAAAAAGAGATAATAAGCAACGCTGGTGAGGATGTGGAGAAACGGGATCCCTCGTACTGCTGGTAGGAACAAACAACGGTGCAGCCCCTTTGGAAAACAGTTTGGCAGTTCCTCAGAAGGCTCCTTTATATAACACTGGAGAAAAATGAGACCATTTATCTACACAAAATTTATACCAGAGTGTTCACAGGATGAAGCAACACAAATGTCCATGAGCTGATGAACTGATAAACAAAGGTAGTACACCCAGACAATGAAATACTACTTGACGATAAAAGGGAGTGAAGTACTGAGACATACCACAAAGTGGATGAGCCCTGAAAACATGAGGCTAAATTAACAAGCCCAGTCACAAAGGGTCACAGTGTACAATGCCATTTATCCGCAATGCCCAGAACAGGCAAATCCACAGAGACACTAAGTAGATGAGCAGTTTCCAGACACTGGGGCAGATAGGGAATTCGTGGAGAGATTGCTAGGAGGTACAGGATTTCTTTATGTGGTGATGACAAGGTTCTAAAACAGAATGTGACAATGGTTGCACAGCTCTACAGATACAATAAAAGCCTCTGAATCACACACTTTAAACAGGTGAATGGAATAGTATGTGAATTATATCTCAGTAAGTCTGTTTTGAAAAAGAAATGAAAAGTTAAATAATTACCTTGCACGTTTACTGGGTCTCCACTCAAAGTACCCCAAGGTACTTGTCTGGCTTATAACGCTTCACACCTCCACCCTCTGTTCTTCCCAAAAAACACCCACCAGCCCTAGCACAAAGACTAACAGACAGACACCTCTCAGTAAACTTGTTGTAAAATGACTTTCTGTAGAGGGAAAAAATGGCTGGTTCCTGGCTTGGCTTCCACGTCTGAATCAGAGATGCTCTCCTGCACTATGATCCTCGTTCCCGCCCGCCCCGCGTCCTGCTATGAGAATACCATGATTTTACAAAGAAACTTAAGTGTCCACTGGCTTCTGAAGAACATTCCTACTCTTTCCGCCCAGACTATAGGAAATGCACTTAAAGATAACCTGGTCCACTTAGGAAATTCTGGAAACTCCCTTTCTCTCTCCGTTGTGGCTTCATAGTGCCGAACGAAGAGCGAGGCTGAGTTCCGAACGAAGAGTGAGGCTGAGTTGCACCAGCAGGTGTCACTGTCTAACTCTTCATATTTAAGTGTCACGGCAGATTCACTAGCTGCCAGGAGGTACAGCGTAACTCCACACTCCCTAAGGGTGACCTGTGCCTCAAGAGTCACTTCCTTTCAGAGAGTACAGTGTGGAAAGAAAAGAAAAAAAGTAACTGTACAGTAGAGAAACCTGACAAACACTAGTTCAAGTGAGGTGATCAAAGTTACCATAAGCAGTGATCAATGTACCCTTAACATAGGTACGAATGGCACTTTACCTCTGTGATTGGCCTTCTGAAAAACACATTACTCCTATCGAATCATGAGAAAAAATAGCACAAAAATTCCACTTGACAACTTCAACATGTCCCTCAGAACAGACTCTCTCACTGCCATCAAGTCTACTCTGATTCACAGGGACCCCCATTGGGCTTCCAAGGCTATAAATCTTTACAGAAGCAGATTGCCTCATCTTTCTTTTGCAAAGCAGCTGGTGGGTTCAAACCACTGACCTCTGGGTTGAAAGCCAATGCCTTAACCACTACACCACCAGCACTCTTTCAGAACTGACTCAACTAAACCCACTGCCGTAGAGTCTGATCCAACTCATAGCGACCCCTCCTTGGGTTTCTGAGGAGGTATCACTATACAAGTAGATCGCCCAACCTTCCTTCTGAGGAGTGGCTGGTGGGTTTGAACCACCAGCCTTCTGGTTAGCAGTCAAATGCCTGAGGCACTATGCCACCAGAGCTCCTTAAAACTGTTGAGGTCATCAAAAACAAGGAAAGTGTGAGAAACTGTCACAACCAGAAAGAGCCTAAGAAGACAAAATGACTAAATGTAACATGGCCCCCTGGATGGGACCCTGCAAGTCGGGAATGGATGTCGGGGACAAACACAGGTTAAAAATAACGTATCAGTATCTGTGGCCAATGTACCACGCCAGAAACGTAAGGTGTTATATAAGATGTTCATAAGAGAAACTGAGCGTGGGGTATGTGAAAACTCTCTGTACTATCTTTACAGTAATTCTGCAAACTAAAACTATTCTACAATTAAAAGCTTATTTTAAAAAATAAAAATTCACTAGCTGCCAATTTTGTCAAATTAAAATTCTGCTGTAAGGAATAATTCCAACTGCTCAAGAACTCTTGCTCCCGCTCCAGGTATGTTTTTAAATGAGGAGGAGAGAGAGACCAGCAAAACCTCAGGCTTGAAGAGCAGAAGGGGTGAGGGAAGAAAAACAGGAGGTTACCTGAGAAGAGCAGAGGTGCAGGCCAGCCTATCACTTCCATCACACCGACAACGTGGCCGCAGCTGCCGTGAGAAAAACAAGAAAACCGCACACAGCGTGCGCAGCCTCTCCCAGCCATGAGACTGAATGGAGGGCTGGAGGGCGCCGAAGTAACAGGAAAACTGGCAGTGCCAAGTTACCATCCGACCGCGGCTCATACTGCAAGATCCAGCCCCTCTGAAGAATTTCATGGCCCTAACCATCCCAAAGCCTCCCAAACCCAGAGAAACTTTGGGGTCTGAACAGTTATTATTTCTACTAATAGGAAAGCAGTCAGAGAAGCACTCAATATACATGGTGATGCAGTATTCTTTTAATATTCAGTTGTTCTAGTCCTGTTAAGAAAATATCTATGGGCAGATAAGTAACGACTAAATGTTATAAAATTTGAATAAACAGGGTTAGGAGGGGTTTTTTAAATGAAAAACCGTGGCTGACTGGACTGTGTGCTAGATTCCTGCTCCCTGAGTTACCCAGGCCTCAAGAAGGCCCAGCCAAGCATTAATTATCAGAGGCCGCACTCGCCTGGTGGCAGCTATCTGAGCCCTAAGATAATGAGGAGAGACACAGACAGCTTCAGTAAACCTTATGTCTTTAAGCTTCAATTTTTAAAAAGACACAAATGAGAACTAGGACAATCCCTATCTCAAAAATTTAACTGTCATAATGAAAGTGATAAATGTATCAAGCTACCTTACCTCCAAGAAGGTAGGATATTTTTACATCTAGAATATTTTACATCAGAAATCAAAACCGAAAAGCTGAAATACCACCACACAGTGTCCATCAACATAAAACGTCCCACATACATCTCATAGATCAGTTTGGTATAGAATGTAAGGTGGAGTTTACCCATAATCTAAGGGTGAAAGGTCAGCGGACATTCTCTGGAAAGTTGAAGCCAAAGAAGGGAACAAGCGGTCATGGCTTACTACCTACGGGAATGAGATGAGTGGGCTGGGACTCCTCCAGTTTACTCCTCAACCAGTCAAAATCCTGGTATCTTCGCCGCACAGAATACTCTGGCAGGTCAAACTCCACCCGAGTGCTCTGCAAATGAGAAGAGTGGAAAAGAAATCAGCAAAGGGGAATAGCAGTGTATCTTGGCTGAAGAGCAGGAAAAAAACGCACTCTCAGAATACCCACACTGGGCAAGACGACACTTTCCTTCCATCAAACACACCAGCCAAATGGCAGAGTTTACCAACACAGAATGAAGGGAATAAGGATCCTGGCCACGGAGGCCAGTTACAAATTCAAGGATGTCGAATTAAAACACCCAGTTGTTGGTTTTCTGTTTTGTTTCCCCCCTTACCCTTGTTGTTGTTGTTGTTGTTATGTGCCATTGAGTCAGCCCTGAATCACAGCGACCCCTTCTTGGGTTTCCGAGGCAGTATCACTACGGAAGTAGATTGCCCAACCTTCCTTCTGAGGAGTGGCTGGTGGGTTTGAACCGCCAGCCTTCTGGTTAGCAGTCAAGTGCCTTAGCCACTATGCTACCTTTACCCTTAGGAAATGGAATTCTACTATCTTTTGATACTGTGTTTAGAAACATTTTGATTCATTTCCTCCAAGCTTAACACTGAGAGGTTCTTTTACTGGAGTAATTCCACTAGGAATATTACTACTGAATCAGGCTCGGAATCTATGCAAAGAAATGAAGGCTCCTCCTTCTACTACAGGAGCTGCAATGAATTCTGCCAGAGGCAGAGGGAAAACAAACAAACAAAAAGCAGACAGACCAGATCAGTGATCATTGAGGAGTCAGATTAGCGGAAAACAAAGGTGTGTTTGCCTAATCTGCCATACTCTGCCAGAACCATAACCTTAAGACTACATTGCACTTAGAGGCATAAGAAAAAATCTGGAAGGATAGGATACCAAAATACCATTGTGTGGCAGGAAAATATTAATAATCCCATTTCCTTTCCCGAATTTCTGAAGTTTTCTGAAATGTGACTGTGGCGTTTTAATAAAGAAAAACAAAATTAAATAAAAGTAAATTGATTTTATACCAACATAAGATTTTTACACGTTAATCCACCCAAACTAAAATTAGGTCTCAGATAACCCACATTTCCCCAGGAAAGTACCAATTGTATGATAGTCACTGGTCTCAGAAATTAAAGATAAAAATGGTTAAAGCAACATATCGTAAATTCGTATTTTCAAGTTAAAAGTCTCTTTTATTTCACAACACCAAAAAATTCTTAAAGGCACGTAAGAGTCATCCATTTAAAAAAGTTGTCAACAGCTTTGGCATCAACATGATCCCAGGATGTGGTCACTGTTCAAGCAAAACCGTGTTTACTCTGTCTTGGCCTGACTCCCGACTACACTTTCTGAAATTTTCCCCTTTCAAGGTCTCATGCACCACCTTACATCCATCAAACACAACCCTCCTCTATGACTGGGGCATGATGGGGTGGATTCCAGTGATTTTGGGACGTTCATTCAATTTAAGTATTTGTGATTTATTACTTATTAGGGAATTGGGATTATAAAATTGGAGGGGGAGGGGGAATAGACCATATTTAATTCCAAAGAACAAATTACTGCTGACCAAGTTTCAGGCACTGGGTGATGGAAAGCTCTGGGCCAGGTAGAACTGGCAGAGTGAAAGGAACTCCACTCAACAGCCCCAGCACGGACACCTCATCACTGCAACGCTGCGGGGCCTCTGGGAACCTTGGTGTCCACCCATAACAGAGACATTCTTCAAGAACCCAACCAAGCTTCTTCAGAGACCTGGTGATTGTGGGTCCACACAGGGCACATTTTGAAAGGTGACAGATGAAAGCAACTCATTTTCATTGTGAATGGAATTGGTGGGGAATCTACTTTTTGCCTTCCTAAATGTTACATGATCATCATTGATAACTTCTATTATGCGTTTTCAAATCCATTTCATAAACAGTAGATGACGGACATTTCCACTCTAACTCTGAAATCAATATTTGGTAACTACAAAAAGCAGCATAATGTAACACAAGTTTTATTTTTGCCCCAAATTGAATTTCAGTTTTGGGGAACTGGGTTTTTTCCCATTTTTTCAGGTTATACATATTGTGACACTTCAGGAAAAATAAAGTAAAAGATCAGTCACAGGTACTCTAAGTAGAGAAAAATGTAATTGACATTATGATTTATAGCTTTTTGTATTTTTTTCTATGTGTATTCACTCATTCACTCCTATTTTCTGTATCTCTTGAATATATCCTGGACATCTTTCTATGCCAGTAAGTTCAGACCTATGTATCATTTTTAATACATTATGGCACATCCATTCCATGGAATACTATGTATCAAACCATCTGCACTTGTTGCTTCCACTTTTTCACTAAATAATGCTACAATAAATATTACTGTACATACATCTTTGTGCACTTGTCTGGTAATTCCCTTGAATTCCTAAAGACAGAATTACTGGATAAAAGAGTATACGTAACCAATATATCCGAGGAGGTAGCAGAGCAAATGGAGCAAAGTTCTGAAAACTTCTTCACTATAGTCTAACACCTGGAGCGAATGAGGCACTGGGCTTGGGGGCTTAGCACCACAGTCTTGAGGATATCTAGATCAATTGGCATAACTTAGTCCACAAAGACAAAACTGTTCTGCATCCTGCTTTGGTGAGTAGCAACTGGGGTCTTCAAAGCTTGCGAGCCACCATCTAAAGTACAACAATGGATTTTCTCCCTGTCTGGAGCAGAGCAAGAGGGGAGCTCTGGTGGCGCAGTGCCTAAGGCATCTGACCGCTAACCAGAAGGCTGGTGGTTCAAACCCACCAGCCACTCCTCAGAAGGAAGACTGGGCAATTTACTTCCATAGAGATAATTGCCTTGGAAACCCAAGGAGAGGTCGTTATGAGTCAGAACCAACTTGACAGCAGTGAGTTTGGTTTTTTTGGGTTTGGAGAAAAGAGGAGCGAAGACAATCAAAGACTCAAGGAAACAATTTCGTCTAAAGGACTAACGGACCATGTGAACCACAACCTCCACTCTCCTGAAATCAGAAGTTAACGGTGCCCGGTTACCACTACAAACCACTCTGATCAGATCACTAGAAGATCCTGGACAGAAGGAGAAAAGAAATTCAGAGCAAAACCCAAAATCACAAAAAAGAGCAGACTTACTGGACTGACAGATTCTGGAGGAACCCCTCTGCATGAACTGCTTAACATGGCCCTTCTAGCCATCGTTCTCCATTCTGTGATGCATTGTAAATCCTAGTCTCTATGAGCTCTGGTAGCATAGTGCCTAAGGCACTTGACTGCTCACCAGAAGGCTGGCGGTTCACACCCACCAGCTACTCCTTGGAAGGAAGGTTGGGCGATCTACTACCGCAGTGATACTGCCTCAGAAACCCAAGGAGGGGTGCTATGTGTCGGTTCCGACTCAAAGGCACATAACAACAACAACAACAACATCATTATGGAAGCAGAATGCCCCATCTTCCTTCCGAGGGGTGGCTGGTGGGTTTGAACCACCAGCCTTCTGGTTAGCAGTCAACTGCCTTAGGCACTATGCTACCAGAGCTCCTAAACGACAATACAAATTCCAACAAGTAAAAAAATAAACAAGATGACAAAAACATTAAAGAAGAAAGAATATATATAGCGTTCACTGAAAAACTGAAAACTACTGGTATTTTCCAGAAAATATCAGTCTCACCAGATTCTCATCAACTATCTAGCTATCTTTCATAGACTAATAAAAATACATCATTTTTCTTTTATTTCTTTAATGACAACTGAGGCTGAACATCCTTTCAAATGTTCGCAGGTCATGTGTTTTTCTTCTTTTGTGCCTTTTTCAAAACTGTCAGGTCATTTTCTTCTGTGAAAGCTCTTTAGCTATCGGCCTATCATATAAGTGCCAAATGGCTTTTCTGATACATAAAATGCAATTCTTATGTAGCCAATTGCTCCCATTTTTTCCTCTTTATGTTGCCACTTTTGGTGTCATCAATAAGGCGGCCATCCATAGTGCAGGATTTTAAAAATATTCACCTTTACTCACATTCTCTTTAATAGTGGCTTTATGTTTTACATTTGTCTTTAACCCTTGCTATTCTACTTGTAGGAATCTATTTTAACTAATGGAATCTATTTTTAATAACTATCATTTGAAGACAATCTCTTAAAACTGTGGCCAAACTATCTATCTGTATTATGATGGTCACTGCAACATTATTTAAAATAGCAGGAGAGTCAAAGCAACCTAAATCTCAAACAATAAAAACCTGTTAAGGAAATTAGGGCCTATTTATTCTATAGTTACCATAATGGTGTCTACAAGACAGTTTTAATGCCAAAAATACTTCAACATAGAATGAGGGAAAATAGCAAGTTAAAAAATTAATTATACATTGTGATTTCATTTACATTAAAAATCTGGATGTAAAAGACTAGAAGAAAAATTGAGAAGTGATAATAATGATTATTGTCCTTTATAAGCTCATCCTTATTTCCAGATTTCTACCATTCTCATGTAATTCTCATGTAACAGTCTAATTTTTTTAAAGCTCCTTTGAGAACCTAGGGGATTTAATACAGCGGTGAAAGCTTGTTTGATGTAAAAATCATCATGGAACAAAAGGGTGTTTATTTTACTGATTTTTATCACAACTTGTTCTAGAAAACATATAGTGATACATAAAATATGACTAAATGACATAAATTAGAAGTAGGTGAGAAAGAGACAGGAAAACAAGGCAGTGAGAGAGACAAGGACCAGGAATGAGGCTACAAAACGCAGCGGGGAGTGCGGTGCACTTGCTAGAACTGGGCCACAGGCATCACTGTGAATTTCCGGAGTGAAGCCCACTCGGTTACTCATAAAATACACAGATCAATAAAATTCCAACTATGAGTCTGTAGTAAATTTTTCCTCTGCGAATATTCAGGGTATAATGTACACAGGAAAGTAAGGTACTAAATCGGTTTACATCTGTTTTCTGGTATCTGTGGAAACTGAAACAAAAGAAAAAAAAAGGAAGAAAAGCACACACACACTCTAGCCAGCACCTCCTGTAACTCACACTCTCCC